ATGTCGCAGCAACAGAGAAGATTAGAACCCAGGCAATCCAGCACCAAATGCCATCAGCCCAGCCACTTTGCCACACAGCCCCTCCCCGCGGCCCACTCCTTGGCTGACGTGGTGGCTGTGAATCTGGTCCCCCGTGAGATTCCTCCCCCCCACACCCCAGCCCCCGCAGAACAATGCTCTCCTTCCCCCACCCCTGACCGCCCAGACTGGCCTCCCTCACATCCAGGTGTTTCCTCCCCGGCCAGGGGCAGACACAGCAGGGGAAACAGGCCTGCCCCATCCCCAGGGGACAGCTGGGAGCAGGGCCCCCGCGTCCCCGGTGCCTCGGGAATCTAGAAAGCCCAAGTGGGCCTCATGGGATGAGGGTTGAGGGTTGAGGACTCCGAGCTCTGCATTTCTACTGTGAGTCCGATACTCACATACTCTGGCAAGTATGACTTTCTCCACGGAGGCAAAGTTCAGAGTACTGGAAATAGCATCTGTCCCCAAAACTCAGGGGGTTCTGAGGCAGCAGTGGTGGAAGGAGGAGGAAGTGGGTTTGGTGGCAGGGAATTCCCTTTTCCCTGTGCCAGAGTTGGGGGCGGACGACAGGTGGGCCGCAGAGCTACCATCTTGGGAAACTCTGTGTCTTGTTCCCGGACTGTAGGCCTGGAGGGCTGGCCGCAGGGAGGGTGTGTGGTGGGTTCTGTGTAAAGAGCCTGGCCTAGAAGCCAGCAACGGTGTGGGGGGGGAGGGTTTGGGGTGCCAGGGTGGGCAAGGGATCTTCAGAAGCCAGGGTCTTCATTGCTGGAACACTGGCCCCGAGCCAGGCCTCCCCAGATCCCCCTCTGAACCCTGCTTCCTTGAGTCCTTCCTGTAGCTAGAAGTCTTCCCCACCTCGTCTTGCACCAGCCGTGGGCTGGGAACAGCAGTAGGGAACGGGCTCCCATTGGCTTCTTCCTGCTGTGTCCCCTACAGCCACCACTGTGGTTCCGTGGTGGGTCCCGGGCCGTGTTTCACCCCGAGGCAGTGACCAGCTGGTGTTTGCACCTGCTCTGAGGACCGTTTATTGTGAATGTTCTATATTTAAGGAATAATACCCTCCGAATCCCAAGTCACTCATTCATCCTTTGTCTCTGATCTTGTCCCTACGTCAAGAATTGTGAAGCGCCTAAGATCTTCCCCTCCTTGTAACTATTCGGTTAGCCCGCCACAGTTTCGCCGGCAGAAAACCTAAGAGTCTAGAGTCCAAGACGAAGGACTTGATGACTCAGGGCGTGACAAGCATGTGAGCATCAGGCTGGAGTGTCTCGGGCAGATCTGGCCCCACTCATTCCCGTGCCTTTGCAGGTTTCCACCCAGAGCTCACCTCCTCAGTGAGACCTCCCTGAGCAACCTCTTAGAAACCTCACCCGCAGCTCTGGAGCCTCACATTCCCCTGCCCGGCCTCATCCTTGCAGCACTGACCGTCAGCTAATAATACGACTTAATTCCTGAGTCTATTGTCCATCCCCTGCGTGCTCACTAAACACCCTGTAGAGCGAAGCCTTTATGAGAGCAGGTGTTTTTGTCTGTTTTAAATTATGCCATTTCCCCAGGACCTGGAATGGTGTCTCACATCTAGAAGGGGCTGAATGAAGGAATGAGTGAGTGAATCCATCCATTTCTTGGGTCCCCCACTGAAGGCCTGGTTTTCCTACCCGCGTCTGTAGGACGGTGTCTGGCACACAGCAGGGCTCAGTAAAGGAGACACTGAATGAACACTGGGTGGGGGGGCAGGGCAGGGTGAGAGGTGGCCCACAGGGACTGGGGGGCTTCTCCCTGGTGGTGGGGGTTCACCCCGGGCTGCTTTCCCTGCTGCCGACACCAGCTGCTGAGAATCTTCCTGACTGGTGGCAGAGGCTGGTGTGTTCCTTTCCTGTGCTGTCTCGTTCTTGCGGTGACTGGGGGAGCTGGGAGAGGGCGGGAGCACGTGAGTGGAGCCCTGCAGAGCCCTGCGGTGCCCTTTCCTTGGGCAGTGGCACAAAAGCCACAGCAGGACATTGCAGCCTGGGTTGTCCCAGGTGCGGTCTGACCCGGACCCCCATGCCCAGGTGGCAGAGCACGATGTCCGTCTCACCGTTGTGCCTGGGTCCCCTTCCCATGGGATGGTCGTCTCCTTCGCCAGCATTCTGAGCATCAACATAATCTTCATGTCATGTGCCATTTGTCCAACCAGCCACGCCCCACAGTCTTGTTTCTGCTCCCTAGCCTGAGAGCAGTTGGGAACAGTGACCCTGTTCTGTCTTCCTACGAGTGCCTGGTGGTCGTTCATTCAATGGTATTTATCGGGGTCCTTCTATTGGTATAAGCAGCGTCAGGTAATGGGGAGCCAGCAGTGAATAAACAGAGTCCCGCCCTCATGGAACATTCTAGCAGAGGCAACCAGTCCATCCACAAATGGGACTCCATACATGGTGCCTAGAGAAGTGGAGAGGCACCCCGTGGGTGTTTGTTGACTGACTCACATGGGCACC